GTTTCATAAGCAGTATTTCTGTTAAGCGTTTTTCTAGTCAAAAGAACTCCAAGTGTCAATATCACTATGTATTTTCTAATTTTTCGCACTTTTCATCATTGTTGGAATGAAATTTTCAACCAGTAGCATTCCAATCTGATTCTCCAGTTCACTTCTTTTTTGTGTCCACTTTGATAATCGAAAAAGGTGTACTCCATACCGTCTTCGACTACATTCCCATATAGGTATTAGGTATTTTAATTTTTAACTGACATAGTTAAGGATTATAATAGCACATACCGCACCGTATGCTTTTTTGCCAAATTTTTGTGCACAATCTGTGGAATTAGCTAATGCTGACGTTTTTGCAAGTTTTTGGGAGTTGTTTTTAACGTTTGCATTAAAAAGTATGAATTAAGAATTTTTTTAAAATTCTTGTATTCCTTATGCCACTTCAGTAATGATATTGTCTAAAAAAATTTATTCATAAGTTTTAAAAATGGCTTTACATTTATATTCATGTACATATGTAAGTACGTTTATTTGGAAACATAAACTAACCTTTCACAATAAAATAAGCAACAAGTAAAAAATTAAATATAATATAATATATTTTAATTTTATTACTGTTTTTGGTTTTGTGTTGATCTTTGTTTTATATTGTTTGTTTTTTATTGGGTCTTTTCCAACTTCGTCAGGGGTTGTTTTTTAATGTTATGTATTAAATAAATACTTATTCCAATTTAGATAACATTTTATGCAAAATAAGAATCTGTATATATAAATTAAGAGATTTATATTAATATAAATAAACCACAACAACTTAGCATAAAAATAAATAAGTCAATCAAATAAAATTAGTATACACACCAAAAGGTCGTATGTGTGTGACGCCAACGCTTGGTGTTTCGGCTTATAAGTGTATTATAAGCATAATTGTTTGATTTTAAGTGTAAATGTGGTATATTTAATTAATTTATCAATAATTACTAATTATCTAATAGTTAATTTATCTATTATTCTTAAAAATATTTTTAAAACGTACATATATAAAAAAGTTAGAAATCTTAAAAAAATTAATTTATGTAAAAGAATTGGGGACAATAAAACTAAAGCACATATTATTTATACTTAATATTCCTATATAAACCTCAAACGACGTGATTTGGTATAATTAATTTAATTAAGAAAGGCCACTAAATAAATATCAAATACCAAAAAAAGTAACATAGGTTTTACAATGGGGGCATTCAGACCTAACTTGGTAAAGAAATAAAATGACAAATGTCCGAAGGCTCCCTTCAAACTCCTCAGTGAGTTATAAAATCGAAGTGCCGAAGAAGCTAATTTAATTCTCATAAAGGCAAAAAATCAAATTTTTGCTTCTATTTAATTTATTATATTTATTAATATTTTATTCATTATTTCACCATCAAACATTTTAAAGTAAATGCAAGTTTTGTAAAACAATTTTACAAATTACTAAAAATATGATTAGACTCAATGCCTAGGTAACACAAATATGTACATATATATAATATTTTATCGGTTTACTAAATTAACAAACACTTTAATGTCTTTTCGTTCTTCGTTGCTTCGTTATTGTCATTGTCACTGAAATTCACTAATATTATAATTTGTTAAATACATTGCTTTGAAAGCAACAACAAATTGATAATCGAAAATCATTCTGGCGTCTGCGTAAGTTGATCGTCTGAAAATACAAAATAAGCAACAAATAAAAGCATCAAGTCGTAAGCGAAAAAATAAATATTTAGTAAACAAAACAAAGCCGTAGACAAATATAATGGGTTGCCATATTTTTAATTTGGTTTATACATATATTAATTATATATTTTAAGAAATTAAAAGTCTAGAATAGCACAACATTAAAAATTCAATTAGTAAATAAAAATCCACAAAATATAACACAGACTGGGGTTTATTAAATGAATTAATTATTACTTCAGTTTGATTCACAATGGTCGCATTTCCAAATTAATTTTCATATGATTATCATGTTATTTTAAAGTTTAAACAGAAATTTTCTCCTTGAAAAAATGTATGAAAATATAAAAGTTTATGCTTAAATCTTACCAAAGTCTACCCAGTGTAGACCCTGAGTTACCGTAACAACATTGTTATTTATGTTCCACAACATAATGCAGTGCTTCATTTGTTTATATTTTAAGGGTTATCTGGAAGAATATTGAGAATTAATGTGTTCAAAAATTAAACGTAAATTTTCATTAACAATTTCGTCGTGCGATATTAGTTAGTAATAATACTAATATCTCGTTAGTTACGGGTTGTCTATGTATGTTTTATATCAATTCATCGATGTAGGTTTAGTATCATTTACTGCTTAATTTCATTATTGTTGTAAGCTGCAGTTTAACTGTAGTCCATAACCGCATAGCAGGCACACTGTGATAGTTTCGAAAAACTTTAAAGTGTTTAAAGTGTACAAAAGTTATTTAAAAAACTAACACCAATAAAAAAAACAAAATTTGTCGTCATAACTACATCTAAAGGACTTTCTGCTCAAATAGATATTACTTGATTTTTAACAATTGGTAAATCTTTTCGGTGAGTTACTACCGTTAGTTAACTGGAGGGAAAAATGTTATCTTTTTTTGCTTTGCTTACTTACTTATTTCTTGGCTTATTAATCACTTTATTGGCCAACATATGCCCATTTGACGCTTCGTCTGTTAATTAAACTAGCTTCTATAAGCTCTTATTATTTCTTGAAAACTAATGATAAGAAGTATTGAAAAATATTGAAATATAGGATTAGACGTTTCATTGATATTTAATGATATATTTAAAAGTGTTGAATATCTGCACTCCTTAAAGTCGTTAATGCGTTGGTTGAAAGCACCTTTATTCCAACTGGCTGATTAAGAAAATAACTTAAGGATGATACTCCATAAGTTAAGATTGTGTGCAATATAGGGTATTTCATATCTAACACATGCAAATATGCTCTTCATTAATACATACCGGCATTGTCTGCCAACAAATATTTATCGACTTATTCAAGGTATGATGATGATGGAAATGCTTAACAATATTAAAGGATAAACACATCGTAGATTTCAAATTACACCGAACTGCTTTCTTAGTGGTTTAAAATAATTGAATACTCATATTTATATATTTTATACTCTTTTTTTTTAATATTCAGTCATCCTTCAATACAGTAGATTAGAAGGTACCTCTATATACATACCATGAACCTGATTTAAAAAAATGTAAACAACCCCGACTCATAATGATTTATCACAATTCTGTACGTTATTAGTTTCTAATTTGTTTTTATTTTGTTGCAGTAACGTTACAACTTCCAAAAATTTTTAGTGGTGTATTTATATTTGTCATAGATTATTGTATTTTTAATCATATAAGCAACATTTATATTTTTATGCACTATTTTCAATTTCACTTCTTATTACATTCTTAAGCCCTTTTGGAAACGTTCTTTTATAGCTCCATGAAGTCTTTAAGGTTAAGGCGTTAATTATCACAAATGATAATATCATCAACATCTGCTTTTATCAAGGAAACTGTTCATTATATTATGATTTATAAAAAAATTCATATATCCACTTCTTGTTTTATCAGTGTATGAGATATCTTTTTATAGTACTATTGTACTTTTTGTAGACTCAAACTTCAATATCTTTTTTTCTAGTGGCATTTTCAGAGGGAGCATCAGTAGAGATATTTGTCACAAAAGTAACTTTTAGTTTAGGATCAAAAAATGTGCTTAAAGCTTTTCAAAATAATAGTGATATGAATATTGGTTTTTACGTTAACATATTTATACACAGATTGATGTATACTTAAATGAAACTTCCACTAATTTTATTGTAATCAATTTGATGAACTTCAATAAAACATCGCGTAAGCATATTAATCACGAAATATAATAATCCAGCTTTAGCACAATCCTGGCTACCACACTGAATAGCGCGAATATGTGGCAATAAAAATTCAAGTACAACTTTTGACAATTCTGCTATTCTGATAATCAAATAATATGTTAATTTATTGAAATATGAATTAAATAATTTAATTTATATTGATAAATATCGACTTCAAATTGACATATGAACCTACCATGTATTTTCATTATTTACTAGGTTTTGACTTTGTTCTTATTCACTAAGTTTTGACTTGGTTCTTAAGACTATAGTATTTTTATATGATATGTCTAAGAAAAACTAATAAAGTTCGGGAGCATCAGTTTTAGTATGTATCGCCTAACTGGTTGTGTTTTAGTTACAAAAGAATATACCAATTTTCAACCTCTTTACTATCTGAATTCTTTACAATGTTTCAAAGTAGCTTACATTATGTTGTACTTTCTATAAACACACATTTTTGTCTCTCAAAGTATTTTCTACATACTGTTGATTGAAGTTTTCGATTCATGAATATTTGTGTCTAGTATTTGTAAAGGCCATATTGGGATGTGCAATGACATTTAAATGATTTATTCATTAACTATTGATTAAACTAAGTGTATAGTTTTCATTTATTGAGAGTTATCCTTATACTTCTCCGACATCAAAATAAACCACAACTGTGCGAATATCAACATTGAAATTAATTACATACAAAAATTGTATAAATCAGTCTATGTGTTTGTTTGAGAAAACGTCAAAACTAAGAGATTTATTTTTATAACAATCTCTTGAAATACTATTGACTTCCTAAAGAATCTAAGAATTAATCATTTAAAAATATATTTTTATATAAACAGTATATTTTTACAATGGAAAATAAAAGACGAGAAATTAGTGTTGGTAAGCGACAAATAACTGTTAAATTTTGGAAAGATGTCATAAGCCAACGAAAAATTGCTGAAGATACTGGTCGTCTAAATTTTTTTGTCCAGAAAGTTATAAATAACTTCCAGGAGACGGGCAATTACGTTTCTAAACCTTGCACTGGTCAGATAGAGAAAGACTTTGCATAATCAACCAAATGAAAGTAAATCCAAGAGTAACAGTCTTCAAACTATCTGAACATATTACCGAAATACTTGAAAAAAAAATGTCCTGTGTACGGAAAATTTTAAAGAAAAGCAAGTATTATACCCGGGTTGCAAGAAAAAAGTCATACAAATCAAGATATAATATAATAAAATGATTAAGATTTGCAAGAAAGCATGTAAATAAACCTATGAAGTTCCGAAAATGAGTTATTTTCTCCGATGAGAGTTAATTTTGTTTATTTGGAATCAAAGGTAGAAAACTTGTATGGAGAAACTCATGTACAGCTTATAATAAACAAAACTTAATTTCAACGGTGAAACATGGTGGTGGAGGCATAATGGTTTGGGGGTGAATAGCAAGTAATGTTGCCGGTAAACTTGAATTTATACAAGATACAATGGATAAATATGGGAATCTAAATATACTAAAAACATATTTGAAAGAAAATGGTAGAATGTTAGATCGTGAGTCAGCAGCACAGCGACTCTAAGCATACAATAACGATCGTACTCCCGGGCAAAATCAAATACTGCCAGAATCACCAGACCTTAGTCCCATCAAACATATGTGGGCTTATTTGGAAAATAAGATTCACCAGCACACGATTTCCAGCAAGGATATGTCAAGAAACATCATCAAGGAAGAATGGCTAAAAATAAACGTATAGGACACTGCAAAGCTGATATCGTCTATGCAAAGACGTCTAAAAGAGGTTACTAAACGCAGAAGTTATCCCACAGGCTATTAAATTGTAAATTTTTGTGAATTTTAATTTAAATATTAAGAAGTGACCGCAGACTTTTTTGCTTTGGTAATTGTTGCTTTTGCATATAATTGTGTTTAATTATTTTTTTAAAAATAACTGTTAATTTTTAATATTGGAAGTTTATTGTGGTTTCTTTGGTTAAAATAAATCAGAACACAAAAATTAATTTGAGTAAAAATTAAAAAAGTTTTGCGAAATTTAAGAAGAATTTTGTGGGTGACTACAGACTTTTTCTTCTATGTGTATATATGAGTGTTGTTTTAAACATGAGTAATATAAATATATACGTATTGTTTTAAATATGAGTAATGTGAATACTTTGTCCATGTTAATAATTATAATATGTTGGATAACAATCATCTACGCATATCTTGTCGAATTAATTCGAATACGTTTGGAGCTAATAAACCGTTTTCAACTTCAGTTATAGAATGTCAGAGTTCTTTGAACTTGAAGCACTTGGGTTGAAGAGTAGTTGTGCATATCACTGCATATCCAGGCCATCTACCTGGATCTTTTTTTGCTGGAAATTAAACTTAATTTTATCATACTCGTACTTTAATTTTATTCGTGCATACGTTTTTATTGCACATAATTACAACTTTTTTGTTGCACATAATTACAACTTTTTAATTTCGATTATTACATATCAGACATTTTCAACGCATTTTTAAAAAATAATATTTTTTCAAAGTTCACTTTACTAATACATTAAATAAAAAATTTATTTAAAAAGTTAAATCTTTCCGATTTGCTCTCTGAGAACATTTGTTTATTTTGTGTGGTTATTTTTTGCATCTTCTTTCTAAAAATCTTTCCAAAAATCTACAAGTTGCTCTAAACTGACATTGTGTGAAATGAGCTTTGTTAAGTTTCTCTAATATATAGAATTCGTATTTATTCAAAATTAATGTAATAAGTTTCTATAACATATGGATTTCGTATTTATTTAAAATTATAATGTGAATAAAATGGTTTTTATTATAAAGGCGGAATATTGTATTGCACCACACATTTTTTGTGCAGGCAGTTGAGTAATTTGTCGCTCGTGTTAATATTGTATTGATTTGAAAATGACTGCAAAGTCTGACCGGATCCGGAAGTGGTTTATATGATTCTGTTTTGTACATTTCGATATCAAATGTGCACCTCGCTGTGATCGGTCAGCCCATAAAATTTTGCAATAAGCGTTCCAAGACTCACACGCACCTTTTAGAAGATAGCTGAAGTATTAAACATCAATCATATGATGGTTTAGAATCAATCATTTGCAAAAAGCAGGTTAAGCGAAGACGCTCAATATTTAAGTTTCTCATAAAATTCGATTGACCAAATTAAAATCAGTAGAACTTCGCTAAAACGCAACGAATTTAAATTAATAGATTCAAAAGCTGGTGACCCCCACAAACAACTTTAAAGCTTGGATTGCCGGCAAACAAGGTTATGTTAAGTGTTGTGTGGTATTGACAAAAATGATTTATTTAGTCCTCACCACCGGCTCACAACTCGACCGCTTTTACAAAAAGTAAGGGAAAACGACTGGAATTGGCCAACAGAAAAAGACTTGTGTTCCACAATGACAATGCCAGGCCATACCCATCTTTGATGACTTAGAACAAATTGAGTCGGAACCTTGGATCATATGACTAACATTTGTTTCAGTCTCTGTAAAACTCTCTTAATAGTGAAAATTTAGTCGACTAGATATTGATAAAATTATTGGATATTTTTTATACTAGTCAATATTATCAAAAATCCCTCCTATGTTATTTTGTAGATCGAAGTGCTATGTATGAATGCTAATGAGTAAAGTTTACTAATTTTGTGGTTTTTATATAATTGTCAGCTATGAAAATTTTTTTATACAAAGAATATAGTAACTGATCTAAACATTTTTGGAGTAATCCTTTGAAAATACCATCTACTGATGATTTTAGTGGTTCAAAATTATCAATTCCTCAATATATGCCATTTTATTGATAAAAATTAAATCATCCTCTTACCGTTCTACTGATAATAGTATTTTCTGTATACTATAAACGAATAGTATATGTGCGTTTTAAGTTCTAATGTAAGTGCTACTTATCAGTCACACCCTGGAATTGGAAGTGACTCAACGTATGTTAGCTTGCAAAATCTATTTCCCTAGGGTTGCTTAGAACTCTATTACTGGTTAACTTTCAATGTCAATAATATTAAATTTAGAAAAACCACGCATTCGTGCGTATTATATATTGTCAAAAGTTTCAAATTTCCAATTTATTACTTATAATAAACTTAAGAAGGTTCTAACCTTGATTAGTTTTTATGGTGATTTTTTATTTATCATAGCACTTCATCATTTTGTAGATTGTTGGTATAGGTTTCATTCTCTGGTAGGTATTTTGATAGCAAAACCAAATTTCGTGGATTTTCATTAATGTCGATCGAGACTTTCGCCGGTATTAGATCTCCAGAGACAAAAAGTTATATCGTTTTTCAACAACTTGCACCCTCTTATATATTGTTTTTGCAACGCGGACTTCTCGCAAGGTGACAGTGGTTCATCTTCCTCAGAGCACCGTGACAAGGAAGTTCTATCGGACTCATATAGGTCACTGTTTAGCTTTGGCGCCGTTAAGTCGACCACAATTGTCAGCAGTTCACTGTTTTTATGTCCTTGATGTTTAATTTAATCCAGAGATAAGTGTTAATTCTCATTCTGAACGGTTATTACTTTCGGGATATAGTTACCTAAGCACGATGTCAGTTTAGTTTCTATGTTTTATGTTCCCATATAACGCTTTTTTTGCAGCATAATCGATCAGTATAAGGCTAGGTCCAAAGTGAAAAACGTCAAATTCCATCATTTGAACATTTCTTCGAGCAGTAGCGCTTTAATTAATTTTTGCTTTTCTTCTGTGAGTATAACTAAAGGGTGGGATTTTGGTATAAGAGCTAAACTAAGACCTTTAACAATGCTAGTATAGCTTGCGTTAGTTTTTCTATAACTGAACTCGGTTTTGGTGCAGTTTTATGTACTTAAAATTATAATGTATTGCGCACTGTACGTTTTGTTTTTGTTTTTTTTTTTTTCATTGGCTTTGTTTCGTAGATCTAAATATTTTCCAATATTTAGATTAAAGATGTCTGCAGTTGCATCCCTTTATTTGTGAAAACATTATTTTCTATCTGTTTGACGGATCTTTGTTCAGCAGTAAGCAATTAGTGATATTACTATTTACTAGATTAATCAACTTATACGAAGTATGACTATTAGCAAATTTGTTTGAAGTTTTTGTTTGTGTTTTTTTCATATGTAGTTCTACGAGTGTTGAAAAAGTGCTCTGCCTATTATTGCAGGATCGCCTCCAATAGTAAGGCAATTCCGCAGTGATGCTGAAACAGGTATCAATGGACAGGTATCAATTCAGTGTGATGCTAGAATACAATCTAATAGCCCTTACTTTAAACAAGTTTGATAGACACGTGATTAGAGGATTGCAGGAAAGAGGGGATGATGGTAGGAATGCTGATAGAGCTTAGTTTGTTACAATATGGGTGATTCTAAAAAAATGAAATAATACACCAGGTGTAATCTTTTCCGATTCGTTGATATAGACTGTGGTGTCATTGGAAACTAAGCAGCCGCAGCCGTTAAGATTTTTACTATGTGAAGAAATAATATACAACGAACTAGTGTTTTTTTTTTTTAATTTCACCAATTTTTAATTTGGAAAAGTGTTTATAAATTTTATAAATATTTTTTCTACACAAATCAATCCCTGTAACAATTCCTTGCTTATTTTACACACGGAAGAGTTTTAAACTTACTCTCTCTTATCTAAACGTGTGTTTTGTGATTTATAATATATATGTGAATATTTTTGTAAAGTTTTTTCATTTCCGTCTTCCTGCCATAATAATTAAGGTCTTGACTCTGGAAATAATTTTCCGAAATATCTTTTCACTTGTCAAAATGTTTTTAGTAAATAAATGTTTTTAATATTAGAGGTATAATGTAAAAAATATCGTTCATCGTATTTTTTGTTCTAATTGCAAAAAAAGGAAAAAATTTTTCCTATTTTTGCGAAACACGTCACTATACACTATTTTTTCTTCAAACAATATATTTTAAATCATCGAAAAGTTTTTAAAGTCTAATTTATGCACCGATTGTTTGGATAAAAATTATAGTAGTCAATAAATAATAATGTAATAATTAATAATAAATTAATAACAAATTAATAGTAGTTGCCTAATACATGTATCTTAACATAAGAAGACTATCAAAATGTTTTTAGGAATACCTTGTTTTTATATTTTATTTTATATAATGAAGAAGACCTAATTATTTGAATTTAAACTTTGCATAATCTTACTATATAAACATATAATATAACATATTATTCATTTATTTTCAGCTAAAACTATATCGATTATTTGCACACTCATACCATAAATCTCTGTTACTCGAATTTACTGCCGAAATAGATTTTCTTAAGTGTGCCATCGCGATGGCTGCTCCAGCAGCCTGTACGCGTTTCTCAGATAATTATGAAATTAAAGAGGAGCTCGGAAAGTAAGATATTATATGATCAAATAAAATTGGTGTTCAAAAATAGAAAATAACACTTTTAACTAAAAAGATTCCGTGTTACAAATTATGTCATTGTAATCATTTGCTTTGTTATGATTTTACTAAACTAATATTTAAATTACAGGGGAGCTTTCTCGATAGTAAAAAGATGTGTTCAAAAGTCAACAGGTTTTGAGTTTGCAGCAAAAATAATAAATACTAAAAAATTAACAGCGCGAGGTAAAATAATGTATTGATCTTTAAAAAAAAAAAAATTAATTTATCTATCAGATTTTCAGAAATTAGAAAGAGAAGCCAGGATTTGTCGAAAATTGCATCATCCAAATATAGGTAAAAACTAAAATTCAATAGATAATTTTTTTATATATTATATATTATAGCAACTAATCTTTAAGATCAAATTATACAATTGTTTTATATTACGTATGTATATGATACTTTACACATATAAGCTTTTATTAGCTTTTATTTAGAAATCTCTATGTATATCAGTGGTTCAAACATACCACGATGCTTTAATCGTATGAAATCATACTTATGAATTTATAAAATTATGTTATTAAAAAAAATTGGCCAATTCATTCTCTTTTGGCCTATTTAATTTTATTGCTTTGAAATGATCGTAAAATTATTAAGTTATTGGGCTAACATTTTTTGTCTGAAATCAGCTCCTTGGGTGTGATGGAGTTCGATTCGGACTGAAGACGATGTGCATATGATGCGTTACATCTCTACTTTTTCTACTAGTGTGTCCAAATGAAGTTTACGGAGAAGTGTCTAAGAAATATACCATAAGTTGTCTTATTATACAAAAAACTTTTTACTGAAAACGTTGAATCATCGCAATGTTAAATTTGGCTGAGTCCCATAATTGGATCAATAAACCAAGTTTATTATAAACCAAACCAAGGGTTTTAGAATTTATTTATAAACAAGAATTTTTTAGCAAATGGAAAGTTTTGAATGTATCATAAATTCTACTTCAAAGGCAAATATGAGAATCGGTTAGTTGACTTGCACAGCTGGGTAAGTTAATGATATCCCATGTCTGGTTGTTCTTTAAAAGCCTTTCTAATAATATGATGAAATTTCGGAACCTTTCATTGTTAAGATCAAACAGTATCTGTCTTTTGTTTGGCTTAAGTACTTTATTTCGAAATCTTTGAATTATATTTTTGTTAGTCTGATTAGTCTGACAGCACCGCCACACCATATAAAATGATGAGCTGTTAAGCGATGAGTAGTTTGTCACAAGTCAGCACAATTTTAGTAATTCAAATCTTGCATTTTGTTTTTTAATTTTGATGTGTTCCTCACAACGTAATTTTATGTCCAGTGTCATACCAATATATTTTGTGGGATTTGCATAGAATATATTTAAACTGTCTATGTACAATGGGAAATGTTGTACTGATAAATTCTACATGTACATATTTACTACTGTTGTGTTTTAAACGGCATTTCTTAGTCCGAACTTTGTTAAAAATTGTTAAAAGATGCTTTTTGGTAGATCTTTTCAATGTTTTTCCAAATTACAGAGGTGTCGTGCCAAAAGCTACGGTTGCGGTTTTGCAACTTTGCTGTGAATGAAAATTAAATTGCAAGTTTAAATTAATTACAGTAATGGTTCCGGGATGCCATCTTGTTGTCCACCGATTAAAATTTTTCTTTGATAGAATAATTTTAATAAAAAAGAGTGTCTTTTAGGCTATGAATCATGTCACACCTGTGTGACAATTCATAAAACAAATTGGAGGGAATTGTTTTAATTTCCTCTATTTACTATTGCGTTGAACTTTTTGATTAGGAGTTTTTCAAACACTTTTTACATAATTGGTGAAAACGGAACTGATATATGGTATAGGATCGTTTACACCTATATATCATTTAAGAATTATGACTTTAGCAGTTTTGCAATAAATCAACACTTAACAAAGTTTGAAAATTTGAATGATTATTTTTGACTTAATAACACAAAGAAACTTTTTCGAAATATGGATCTAAAATAAAAGAGAATAACTATTACGACCGCATAATATATCTATGCCTAAACCTCTAATAGCAATCTATTAGTATGTTAGGTCTTGTAATAATAAAATTTTCTAGTGAATAAAAGAACACACATATATCACTTTTTCTTCTAAATATTTTAAAATGTTATTTTAAATAAAGGTGCATAGTTTTGTACATGATTGTATATGTGAACACGTATTGGCATCTATTGTAGTGTGGTTTTTGGCTTAGAATAGACAACAAAATTTTAAAATTCATCGCGTGTGGTTGCATATTTTTGTTGCTTAAACATTGCAACTAAGTGTTAAAAATTTTAACCCAAAAATCCCAAAAAACTGTGGGCTGACAGACTCTGTTTGGCCTTCTTTGGACCACGTTCGCCCCTAGCAACCCACTGTTTCGATTGTTCCTTGGTCTCTGGCGTGTTGTGATGGATCCATGTTTTGTCCACAGTAACAAAACGGCGCAAAAATTCGTTCGGATTACGGCTGAACATCGCTAAACACTTTTTTGAAGTGGTCACACGATTGCGCTTCTGTCGAGTGTGTGTAATCGCGGCACCCATCTCGCGGAGAGTTTTTTCATGTCCAAATATTCGTGTAAAATATGATGTTCCCGTTCAGTTGAGATACCTACAGCATGAACCAACTTACATACTTTCATTCTCCGATCATCCAATATCATTTCATGGATTTTTTCGACGATTTCCGGAGAGATCACTTCTTTTGGGCGACCTGAACGTTCGGTGTCACTAGTGCTGGTAAACCACTCCTTAACCATTGAAATTGATGGTGTCGAGTTTCCGTAGTATTTATCAAGTCTTTCCTTAGTTTCAGTGATGGATTTTTTGCGAAAAAAGTAGTGTTTAATCAGCACACGAAATTCACTTTTTTCCATTTCCGTAAAAATTCACGAGGTTGTCTGCTTTGAACGGCTATCAAACACCAACTGAAGCTTATCTCTAGAAGGAAGGAAGTTATTTAAAGTCATACAAAACATAAACTAAACTGTCCACCGGGTGTTGACTGCTTATAATACTTGTGCTCTTATTCATTTCAATTGGCTAAAAAAATAAATGGTTAATAATCTCCTACGAATTGCTTACGGACGGTCAAACGGTGAATAAGGAGTATTAATTTGCCGTTATGCGTTGTTTGCGTGAGGCCATTCGCAAAAAGAAGCCAAATTTATGGAAGGAAAACTCATGGATTTTACACCACGATAACGCACCGGCTCACACAGCGTTGGTAGTGTCGCAGTTTTTGGCCAAAAACTCCACCAATACACCAATATCATCAACCAAGCACCGTACTCTCCAGATATGGTTCCGTGTGACTTTTTCCTCTTCCCCCGACTCAAATTGCCATTGCGAGGACAAAAGACGCGTTTTGAGACCATAAAGGCCATAAAAGAGAATTCGCTGCGTAAACTGAAGGCCATACCTTTGGCGGCCTATAAAAATTTTATGGAAAATTGAATCAAGTGTTGGCATGCATGTATTGCCGCAGGAGTAGAGTCCTTTGAAGGCGATAATAAAGAGGAATAATAAAAATTAAAATTTTGGGTTTTTTTTAACTTCTCGTTCTTTTTGATCAAATGGTAGCGAAGCCGCTGAATTTTTATGCGCTTAGCTATGTCAATGTCACGGCACAGCTCATACAGGTCATCGTTCCATCTAATTCGATACTCGTTACCAACGTATAAGGGACTATAAATCTTCCGAAGAATTTATCTTTCAAATGGTCCTAACGTCTTCTCATCACAGTTGATGATTGTCCAAGCTTCTGCACCATACAGCAGGACGATTATGATAAGAGACTTCTAGAGCGTAATTTTCGGTTGTCAAGAGAGAGCTTTATTTCTCAATTGTTTACTTAGCTCAAAATAACACCTATTGCCAGTGTGATTTTTTGTTGAATTTCTAAGCTGACGTCATTCAGGTATTCAAGCCAATGATATCAATATCATCAGCATATGCAAGCGGCATTACACTTTTGGATTATTCGAATTATCGTTTCCAACAAGAAATTACTTTATCTGAAACCTCGTTTGGTGCCAAACGGCTTGGAGATTCCTCCCGACCCTAATGGAGTTGGTGGTGTTAATTAACATCATTTTATATAGCCGAGTAAGTTTTGCTGGGATATCAAACATAGCGGTATACAGACTGTTTCTAGTCGTAGTGTCATAAGCTGCTTTGAAATCGACAAAAAGGAGATATGTGTTGATTTGTTTTTCTTGGACCTTCTTCAGGATTTCAGGCACTATGAATACCTCGTTTAGGGTCGATTTGCCTGGTCTGAAGCCACATTGATAAGGATAATCAATTAATTGACGATTGGCTTTAATCTTTCATATAGTACATTTGACAGAACCTTATATACAATATTTAAAAAACTGATACCACAATAGTTAGCACAGTTTGCATGATCACCTTTTTTGTGAATTGGACAAAGCACACTTAAATTCGACCATATGTTGCGAATTAGTTGTGGCATACATTTTAATAGCTCTTCTCCACCAGCATTATAGCTGTTTTAACTTTATTATTATCGAGAGGTGGGACGAATATTTCATTATCAACGAATGTAAATTCGGGATCATCTTCGCTTGCAGTCACATCACCTTTACCGCGATATAGTAGGTCCGAAAAGTAATCCCTCTAAATGTTAAGCATGCTTTGGATATCTATCACCATATTGCCATTTTGATCTTTGCAGAAAAATTACTCCGGGTTTATAACCATTTGTCAGGCTTTTGATTTTTGATAGAATTTTCTAGCCATATACCTATTGCACAGCTTCTGAAGCTCTTCGTAATCACGTCTTTCTGCTTCTTTATTTTTTCACCTGAAAAAGTTCCTCCCTTCTTTTTTGCATGGTGGCTTGATATTCTGCAGCTTTCTCTGTGTTGGCGTCACGACAACCTTGGCCGTACCATTCTTTTCTTTCTCTACGATGATAGCTATCACTTCGCAGGTGGTACGCATGAGTGGAAGATGTGGTTCCATTCTGCACATATATCGGCGTCTTCAGAGTAGCGAAGTCATTAGCTGTCTGTTATGATTGCAGCTTTTCGACATCTAGCTTTCACAGTGCTTATTCACGTACTTCTTTCATCGCACATAAACGCGTGCGGGTCTTGGCAGCAACAAGATAATAATCCGAGTCCTATGTTGGCTCCTCGGATAGTATGTTCATCCAAGACACTGGAAGCATGCCTTCCGTTTATCACAACGTGATGAATTTGAGATCTTGATTTTCTGATCAGGTGACAGCCATGTTGTCTTATGTATGTTGAAATGCTGGAATCTGGTACTACTAACCACGCGGCGAAATTAATAAACCTTCTTCCATTATCAGAAGTTTTTGTATGAAGGCTAAACTTTCCAACAGTAGCATCAAAGATACCTTTCTTACCTACCTTTGTGTTGAAGTCTTTATATACTTGTTCAAGCTGTTCATAGTAAGTTTCCTAGGTGTAGTCATCTTTATCTTCTATCGGGGCATGTGTCCAAATTAGGTTGATGTGGAAAAAATTTTGTTTAATACGGGTTTTAGCGGGCCTTTCGTTTATAGGTGCGGAGATTGTGACCAAATTTCTCAACCTTCGGCTTACCGCAAATCCGACTCTGATTTTGTGCTTTGTTGCATGGCAGCTGTAGTAGCTGTCACAATGTTCTTGTTTAGAACACCCTTGTCCCGTCCATCGCATTTCCCGGAGGGCGGTAATGTCAGCCTTTTATTTCTTGAGGACATTAACCAGCTGTATAAATGTACCTTCTCTGTAAAGAGTTTGAACATTCCAGATGCATATTTTTAAATTATGTTCTTTAAGACGTTTGTGATTATCGTTATCAGTAAATCGTTTCCTTATCCAAAGCTGATTCTTCGTTTTCATTGGAGTTGTATTTTTATATGGTGGGTTCCATGCCTGACGCATAACCTCTTCGAGGCGGATTTCGCTGAACACATTAGTTCACTACGCATGAATGATTGTAGCTATCCAGATGGGGTCACGTGGAGGCTATGTGTTAACAGTGACTTGGAGAGAACAGTGACAAGGACCGCGATGGCATTTACCAAATTAAATGTAATCAGACACTTTACCTTTTATGTTCACTCTATACTATTTATTAAGTATAATTATCTAATAAGGTCTTGGATTAATAAAAATATAATAATAATAAATGTAGTGAAAAGAAATCCATTATTTTTGCATGAAATTGAAGATTTATTTACCATAGTTAGAATAGTCCGATTTAGGCCAAATAAATATCGTTTTATTCGATAACTTGTTGCCATTTTGAAGGTAATTTCATTATACCTTTCTCATAGAAATCCTCATCTCTTTTGATGAAAATTTGAGACAGTTGGTGTTCACAAACTTCTCTTCAAGCGAATTTTTCATCAGAAAAAATGTTCGCCATGAATAGAAATAGATGGTAATCATTTGGTGCTAGGTCTGGACTATAAGATAGCTGCATAAGAAGTTCCCAACCAACTTCAACCTTGGTTGAAGTGTTGTCCTGATGGAACACAATTCCTCTCCTATTGGACAAAGATGGCAGTTTCTGGGCGATTGCTTCCTTCAGACAATTAAATTGTTGACAGTACGTGTACAGTTTCGAATTAAGACTTTTGCCGTAGGAGAGCAGGTCATAGTAGATGATTCCCTGCCAATCCCTCCAAACACACAGCGAAACCTTCCTGACCATCAGTTCTGCCTTGACCACCATTTCAGCCGGGTCACCGCAGTTCGACTACTACTGTTTTCGGTCCATGAAGTTCATGTAAATTCGTCACAAGTTTTTTAGTACGAAATCCTAGCTTTCTCACTCCATTTGGCGTAGCCCGAATGGATTTATTTAACTCGGGGTACAGATACCAGATAAAGCCATCTATTGGAAAAATAATGGATTTCTTTTTACTACACCTAACACATATATTATTTTATATATATTACTTAAAATTAATGTGTTTCGTTACAATTTATGTTCCTTATTATAGTTCTATATAACTGTCTGCTTTTTCTATTTCAGTACGACTCCATGATAGCATACAAGAAGAAAATTATCATTACTTGGTTTTCGATCTGTAAGTAATTAAAATTTTGATATATTTATTAAAAAAATTAATTGTTAGCAATGAATATTAAACAATATATTACTAAGGACTTGGATAATATTACATATAAAATGACTTGACTACTGTTTATTGAGATTCATACTTCATCCTTTTACCTGTATACAATAATTTCCTGTATATCTGAGTACAGGAGCACCCAGCAACCATAAAGAAAAGAATATATACACATAATAAACCTATATGTGACAATTAGAATAGAAATTTTTTTAATATAGTTTTTAACTCTTAATTAAATTGCATACTCACCAAAAACTGAAATAGAAAACGTGTGTTGATTTTTGAAAATATCATGAATTTGTACAGATTTCTTTAAAGAAGAGAACAATGAGCTAATGGCTTTAAATACGAATTTAACGAATTTGATAAAGGCAATTTGTCAACATAACAATTTTAACTTGTTCATCCGTTTAAATATTTAAATTAATTATTGATTTCTATACTTGTTAGCCTCGGTATTTTTATTTTTTAGTTGTCGGAATTTCTCCATAACAATTTAAATAAGAGATCTTCACTGCTTTAATTACTCGTTACATTTGCTATGGGTGTCCTCTTCTTTTTTTATTATTTTTTTTTTCTTGGGAGTCCTAACGGATACCAGAATTTCATTAAATTAATTGCTTGCTGCCGAATCAAAATTTATGGTTTTATTCTAATTGTCACCTCTAAGTTAATTCTGTATATTCTGTATATATAAAAAGCTTAAAAAAAAAGACAAATAATAATTTAAATCGATAAACTATTAAAAATTAAAAGCATATACAAATTCCAAATTCCAAATACCATTGCAATTGCAGTGTTACTGGTGGTGAGCTATTTGAAGATATTGTTGCTCGCGAATTCTATTCAGAAGCGGATGCATCACATTGTATTCAACAAATATTGGAATCAGTTAATCACTGCCACCAAAATGGTGTGGTGCATCGTGATCTGAAACCTGAGAATTTACTCTTAGCAAGTAAGGCAAAGGGTGCAGCTGTGAAACTCGCTGACTTTGGTTTAGCCATTGAAGTTCAGGGAGATCATCAAGCATGGTTTGGATTTGCTGGAACACCAGGTTATCTGTCACCAGAAGTTTTGAAAAAAGAGCCATATGGGAAATCTGTAGATATATGGGCATGTGGTAAAGACGTAAAATGTATGCTACGTTTTTAATTACTATATCAACTGTTTCTTTTTGTAGGTGTTATTCTGTATATTTTACTTGTTGGATATCCACCTTTTTGGGATGAAGACCAGCATCGATTATACTCACAGATAAAAGCTGGCGCTTATGATGTGTGTCAATTATTTTTTTAAATAAATATATAAGTCTAACTGTATTTATTTTAGTATCCATCGCCTGAATGGGACACTGTCACACCAGAGGCCAAAAATCTTATAAATCAAATGTTAACTGTTAATCCAAATAAGAGAATAACTGCGGCGGAGGCACTTAAGCATCCCTGGATTTGTGTATGTATTTATAATTATTAATAATTGTGTTCAAGAATGAATTGATTGTTAATTTTTTTTTTGTTAACAGCAAAGAGAAAGGGTCGCATCGGTGGTGCATCGTCAAGAAACTGTTGATTGCCTCAAGAAATTCAATGCTCGTCGTAAACTCAAAGGAGCTATTCTTACTACAATGTTGGCCACTAGAAACTTTTCTAGTAAGTAAACAATTTGTAGTTTACCGTTTTTATATCGTAAATATTTTTTGTAAATTTTAATGTTACTACAATACAAACAAACTATAGAGATTTTTTCTTTTTGATCATATATTTTTATATATCATTATAATTTTGTTGCGCGATTTTGACGTATGTGAACATATACACACAATCAATAGAATTCTTTCGACACTAACAGTATAGATAACATCAGGTACATATTGAAAACCTCATTTTTCTATTTAATGTGTGAATCTATTCTGATATTCTGCAAATTCCATTGCATTACTACTTTTATGAAAAAATTATTTAAAAAAAATCCTTTCATTTTTTTCGTGTTTTATTTTTAAAATTTATATGTATTCTGTCAAATAATAATAAAAGATATTTCAGGTATGGTAATTTACAATTTAGGTACTTCTCTTTTTAGTGTGTAACTCTACTTTTAAATTAAAATCTTATTATAAGATCTGGAACGGTGTTTTTCTTTTCAGCTTTGAACAAACTTTCGATGGCGACATCAAATTCGAACCCAGATTGTTAGGATTAATCTGTTCATGATATTTTCTGGCTACGTTTTTTACTTCATCGGAATTAACATTTCTTTTAGAGTTTTAAACTGGAGAAGAAGCAGAAGAATCTTTGAAGAATTTTGTTGTTGAATGTTGAGGTTGTGCCCCATAGGTAAATGCCGTAGGTCCGTACGGGTTTAAGCGCACTTTAGTATAAAATAAGCTTATTTTTTAAAGATATTGGAAATCTTACTCAGTAGCCAAAACATTTTCCGATATTGTATCCCTAGGGATTTTCTTTTGTTTAAAATATACGTTTTCCATGTCAGACATGTATCAAAATGCAAGCCCATTATTTTGCGCTATTTGATCCCGGGATAATTGTATTATTAATTTTAATTTCGGAGCAAGTGTATCTTCTCATTGTAAATGTGACATGAGTAGTTTTTGTTTCATTTGTTTTCATTCGCCAAAGCTTTTACCATCTTGACATATAATCAAAACTTCATGAACTTGAAGTTTAGAAGCGGCTTCAGAGGAATCACTAGCACTCGCCAGGATTGCTGTGTGTTCTCCAAATGTGCCAATTAAACTTCCTACTGTCTTTGGTAAATCGTATGTGATAAGTAGATGAAGGATTAGACTGAGTGTAATGTCTAGTGCTACTCCAGCTTTAATATTATATAATGAAGACTTTTTTTTTCGTTGTAGACATACATAGTAAAGTGTGTTTCTGAGAGTAATAGTATATCTATAGTATTTTTTGATAGAAATAATTTTAGTTGAGAAGAATCCTGTGACAGTCAATTGATATTTCATAAGACGTTCTTTATGAACATAAAGTTTGTTTAGACACTAGATTTACTAGATAATTTGTCATAATAGTAATTTGATTCATTACTTCCCTCATTAGATTCATCAAATATGTCAAATTTCGATCATTTCTATAATTTGCAATGTTGCATTCGACATTTTTGGTCTGATTTTACTTACAATATTTTTTTTAGTAAGTTTAAAAACACGGAAACTCTTTATATGGTTAATGAAATTTACTTAGCAATCGCTGCCAGTGGAAACGTACTATTAGATTCTGTTTAATGTAATGCTTCTAACATTTTCAGCATTTTATTAAGCTTAAGAAAAAAATTTATTAATAAAAAAACTGTTACTCATACATAAAATATATACGAAAAAATAGATATATTAAGGTCGTGTGCGAGTTAGGCTAAGTTGCGTTCTAAATGAGTGAAATTCTAAGTTGTGTCAGTAATGTAATGTCAGTAATTTTCATACGTGAATTTAAATGAATATTTGAATATAGAAAGTGGCAATAAAAAATAATTTTATTAAAACGTTTTGTTTTATTTGTATTAAAAAAATTAATCATTGTTATTAGAAAACTTTTAAACGAAAAGTCACCACTTTTTGCATATATTATACATTATGAGCATTTGCAATAAATTTTGTAAATATTTGTAATTTCTAAAATTTTCATTGCCTTTTTTTAAATATTGTAAACATTTATTTGATAAAATTTTATTATAGTGGCTGTTTCCAAAAAAGTAATTGAATTTGTTTTCATTGACTTGGCAATATTGTTTGGCAATTTTTGACGTTTGCATAATTTTATTTGTGTTCGATATTATTTGTTTTTATATATGTATATTGAAAACGTAACACAACTTGATCCACTTTGGCAGCCAAAGTTAAAAAGTGCACAGAAATGTAAACTTGCCTTTAGTTGGGTAGTTCATTCTACTGAGCTACCGATAAATGATGTAGTATAAAAAGCTGTACATGAAAAAGATATTTTTGACTTTGTCAAAGAAGCCAATCTTGGAAGTTTTGTAATGTGGTCACGTTGATTGTGTACGTCCTTATTATCATTTAATACCAATAGTAAACTTATTGATACAAATGATCAAACGTGTTGGGATGTTACTGACAATAATAATATTCGTATGCTGTTGTCTTCATAACAAATACAATTTTTTAATATTTTGTTTGTAAAATACATTTAGGGTGTTCACGGGGCACTGGTTATCGGGTTATGTGGGTATCTACTTATGTGCGGAACAATAAACTGCACTGATTAAAAATAACCAACGACCCCTGCCTATGTATACAAATTTATGTGGATTTGTGGTTATTTGCTGTGTTGAAAAATAGTATAAATGGCATCAAAAAAAAGATTAATTTCATCGAATGAAACCACAAACTGCGAATTTAAAATCACTAACATTTGGTTTTGTTTGTAAACAAACATTTGAATTTTCAAAAGTAAGTTAAAATGGTCTATGCGAAATAAAAATATAGATATGACTTATTTATTTCCCATTTTCAATATCTACCAAAATCCAAAAACGCAAAATTTTGCGTCTATAATTTGATTTTGTATACTCTTTTTAAGCATTTTGTGTACATTTTGATATTTAAATTTCTTTGTACTGACGACAAACACAAAGAACAGCTGATTGTATAAAAATTACCAGATAACCTACGTAAAAGTGTGTTCACGGTGCACACAGGTTATTTTTCATTTTATCACCACATGACCCGATAACCAGTGTCACGTGAACACCCTAATTGAGTATTTTTTTTGGTTTACAGGATGTCTTGAGTCAAGAATCACTACTTTTATTTATGCAACTTTTCCAAACATTAGTTTAGTTGATACTGATTCTACTGATTCATTTTAAAAATTAGCAAATACAAAATACGTGAATGTTCTTTTAAGTTTTTAATTTTTAATTGTGAAGATCCAAGAAATAATTCAATTACAAATCAATAACCATTTTATGATAATCGGTGTATAAATATATAAAAATTTTAAAAGTTACTTCCATAATTTCTTAATAGACATGTTCTTCTCGGTATCCTTCTACATAACTTTAGCGACATCCATTTCAAAATCTTCTTGAGTAACATGCACACGATGCTCACGCAATGAGTACATATCAGCTTCTATACAAACGCCTTTAACTTCTGCACCAGAAGGTCCCGGTATAAGTTCAGCTGTTTTACGCAAATTAATACAGCGGGTCAAGTTAATTTTACGCGAATGAATTTGAATGAATTGAACAATATGCACGTCCTCCGCTATTGTAAAATATGTAAACAAAGTACTGAAATCAAAATATATTCACAGCTGATATAAGCTGTCAAAATGCAACTTGCACACTTTTTTGGACTAAGTGGCTACATGTGTGCAGTGCCAAAAATCTTAAGGAAAATCCCATTTGGTTTAGCATCAACTTAGCCTAGCTCGCACACGTTCTAAGTGTTTTCTAGTTTATTTCCAATAACTTAAATTACAAAATAAAAGTGTGTATTTTTGTTAACATGATGAGCGCCGTAGATGAATAAAAATGTTTTCTAAATACGATAATAAAACAAAATAAAACAAAAAGCCTTCATCAAGCCCACACACAAAGTTTAACCTGTTAACATAACTAATATTGCATTATTATGCAAATCTCTAAATTCAGAAAATTTTCGAAAATTTTGGTAACTTAACCATTATTATGCGAATTATTCTCCTAAATTCACAAAACTCCTGTAAATATTTGGTGCACTACGCGAATTATCTTCTTCTTTAGTTATTTTGTCTTTGGTGAAGAGCTCACCAATGAAAAAGTGAAAAGTTCGACCGCAGCCTATGCCATATAAAAGTAATGACCAGATAAAATTCATAAGAACCTTCAAAATATTATTAAGTCGATGGAAGTGAAGCAAAACAAGAACATGGCGCTATCAGTAAAATCTTCAGTAGAAATTACGAGTTAACATAGTAGAAGATGTCAATCCGAATCAATAGAAATCGATTATATTGTAAAATAAAAAATTTTCCATCGACAGTCTCAAGTCCGATTTAACGATTGTTGAAATTACTAAAGGGCTATATAAATTAAAATTCTTAGAGGATATAGGTTCAACCACTACTTTTATAAATAAGAAAAAAATTACCTTTGTTTAAACGAACAAACTTAAACAAACCAGAACCAATTAAACTACCTGTAGTAATGTGCTATATAACATTAAACCTCAAATAATAAAAATATATACTCAATATAATTTTAAATACGTATTTAAAATTGAATCTTCACATAGAAAACGTGACAGTATAAAACGCAGATGCCAAGTACTACCTCTTTCTTTATAGAACCTGGAGGAAAACATCTTCTAAAGATACAAATAGCCCGCAATATTTGCATACATCATACATGCCTAGAGACTAAAAACACCCCACATTCTTGGAGATCCCTGCAGTATGACCAGTTAAGGTATTCCTTCACAGGGCAGGTTGGAAGGACATACAGCGTGCTTTTACTCTAATTGCGTACAAAGTATTACGTCTGCTTTAACAATGTTTATTGTTTTAGACATTATGCACTTATAAAGGCTCTAGTCTTCAGTGCTTGCCAACATCTGCTTTACCATAAAAGAAAGACTAACTTCCCAGATTAGTATCTTTAGATTTTGTCTAGTATCTACGAATATTATACAGTCTGTAATTATATGGTCGGGACTCTCAATTTCATCTGAACAAAACTGGCAGTACGGATTACTTACCGGCCTGAACCGTAAGTCTCTAGTTCCTCCAGTTATTTGGAATTCGCCAGTGCGTCCATCTTGATTTTTTGAGAATGATACCACCGATGTTGCCATTCATTAAGGTATTTGTCTCTTACTTCTAGATAAGAATCTGAAAATTCTAGATAAGAATTTGCTCAGTAATTTGTAGACGAGAGCGCAGGAAAGGTCAACAATAATTTACAACATCTAAGAACTCTAAATATCAACCACATATCAGAGATAAGAATCCAGGATCCATTAATTATATCAACAATTATAATTTCATTAATATTTTAAATGCCTTGGCAACACATTCCGTCAATTATAAAACGAAATAGTCTAGATATAAACCTAGAAAATCCGACTAAAATCTCTATGGTGAAACGCATATGGCTGGTGTGTGGTATGACCCGACAAAAATTCCAAACTTACTCGATTTTCTGTTAAAGATATCAACAGTAAAAATATGAAAGTGCTACTTAATTAAAACTTTGATCACTTACCGATCTTATAAACATTACAATCCAAAGTTCAACAAACAGAAAAATCTTTAGCGATGCACAATAAGAGAAATTTCTTATCTATGCTCAAAACAACCGCTTTGGACAGTTTACTTTTGAATATGGCTTTAAGATCAAATGTAGACATGAATGTCGCATGGGTGCGTCAGTGGCACTCAAAAACAAAACACAATAGATTGTACCCTAGACTTCTCTAGAAAAAAGAAGATAACCAGACTTGACACTACGGTCAAATATGCTGCTGAATTATCGTTTCCAACATTAGGTTAAAGTAGTCACACGACAAGGAGTCACCCTTTCTGAAACCTCGTTTGGTATCAAACAGCTCGGAGAGGTTCTTCCATTCAATTCTAACGGAGCTGGTGGTGTTGCTCAACGTCATTTTACATAGCCGTATAAGTTTTGCTGGGATACCAAATTCAGACATAGCGGCATAGAGTGTGCTTCTAGTCGTAGTGTCAAAAGCAGCTTTGAAGTCGACAAATAGATGGTGTGTGTCGATTTGTTTTTTTTAATAATAATTAATTATAGTTATATTAATAATTTAAGTTAATAGAAGGCAACCAAACAATTTAAACTAACTCGAAGATCTTCACCGATTGAGGGTAAAGCAAAATCATTTATATATCATCTGTACGTATATATATCATCTGTATGTATTAGAAGAGAAAAATAGATAATTAATTGTCCTTAGCCAAAGCTTCGTCCAACTTTGTTTCCATGTCGGGCATTATTCTGAGAATAGCCGGGTTTATATAGTTCGTTTTGAGTCTCTGGGTTCCTCTGGATTCCTAAGTATTATGAACCATTGCATTGGGGAAATAGTTTCCCATTAATACGAAGGGAAGGGCAGGTGTCTAGTTGTAGAGTGAAGGTTATGTGTGCACTTTTCGATTCGTTAATTTTTTATTCTCCAGAGATCGAGCCATTTTTGCAGTTTGTTGAGGTGGTCTTGAACTGATTTTGTAGCTGTGAATGGGTCGTCGTTGTGGCTGAGTATGGCAGTGTCGTCCGCAAATATTGATGTTGTTGTACAGTCACTGGCTCGCATATCTGCTGTGAAAATTAGGTAGAGCAATAGGTTCAGTACAATACCTTGGGGTACACCGTCCATAATGAGGAATGCATTGGAGATAAAATAATTTTGTTTTATAACCATTCTTCTATTTGAGAGGTAATTTTTGATAAGTGAGGATATATTGTATGGTAAATATTTTTCAAGTTTCCAAAACTTTACATAAAGTTTCAGTTTCCTTCGTGCCAAACTTTGTCGAAGACTTCGGTAAGTGCCTTCGAAATTCACACATTTTGTACCACACCTACTTTGTGATGAACCTATATCCAAAAATTTGTGACGACACTCAGTCAAATGTCCCAACCAATATTTCCGTTATCAAGTTAAAAGTGTTCTTATGAAACTTTCTAGGTTATAGCCTCAAAATTAGGATATAATTTTTTTTGGGAAACATATAGTTTTTAAGGTTTCCCCCTTCAGTTCATTTATACTGTCATGCACATAAAAACATTTTTGTACAAAAAAATATATTAAATTTTTTTTTAAAGAGCCACATCTCCTTGCAATATTCTTTTTATAATTTTGTAATAGAACTGGTTTTGATTTATTTAATAATTTTATTTTTAATATATTTTACGTATGTATATATATAATTCATAATATTTAACTTTTGTTTATAATTTTGTTTTCAAGGTAGAAGCATGATTACTAAAAAGGGTGAAGGATCTCAAGTTAAAGAATCGACTGACTCTTCTAGCACTACAATTGAAGATGATGATGTAAAAGGTAAATGAATACAAAAATTCTTTCTTTACATAGAGTTTTAGTCATTTAAACATGTAATCGTATATAGTATTCGGTTAATTTTTATATTTGACCATATTAAAAATATTTTTAAAACAGAGGCACTTATGAGAGTGAAAACTTTTACTTCTATGAATATTTTTATCAACATTATCAGTTTAAGTCAAAAAGTTTTTAACAATAAATATGCATATCCGCCTTAGTAGATATTGTTGTAAATACCTTTAAGTCTGTTTTTTGCACATTTGTTTGATATGTTTTTACAAATACGTTTTAATGTCTAAACTATTAAAATATATAATACGTAAACTCTTTTGAATCATCTTTGTCGTTTTTTTATTTCTATTTTTATGTTTACAAAAAATATATATACATAAATAGTCCAATATAAAATGTATCCCTTTAAAATGACTATTGCTTTTCTCTATAGAAAAATAGGTCTATGTTAAGTGTTGTGTGCCAAAGAACACTGCTCTGGAAAAACTTTGATAATAAGGGTATTCAGACATCTGCGGTAATTCTATAAAGTGATAAAATCTTATGAATATATATTTTTTTCTAAAACTACAATATATTTGAGTAAACGTACTACTAAGACGTCGGGGATAAATTTCTTAACTGTGCAAATTAAATTTACTATTCCTATTTGTCAAAAAAGTTTACACTTTTATCTATTTCTTTCTTTCACAGTAAAAAGAGACAGTGCTTTTTTCAAAAAAAAGATTATTATTTTTGAATGTGTTAGAAATGGAACACAAAAAAAGGAAGCAAGGAACAAACGTTTGTCCTCGTGAACTTTATAGAAAGTAATAAAGAATTTTGTAACGATAATTAAAATTAAAGATGGTTTAAACTATATTAAAATAAATTTTAAAATTTATTAATATTATTAAATACTTAACACAAATCTATACGTGGAATTTTTGTTTAAAACAATATTTTTAATTTTTATGTGTTAATTTAACGACCTAAGTCCAATAATAATTAAAAAAACCTATCGAATATTCGTCGTAGTAACATTTTATTAATTATTAACTTCACTTATAATGCTCTTAGTAATTAATATAATATGTGACTTTTTTTTGCTTTGCTTACTTTCAATGACTGATTTTTTTTACCGAAAATACAAATTTCTTTACCAACGCTGTCAAAAACATATTCACCACATTTTAATTTCACATTTAACACGAAAAAGGCACTAGCACTTGAGGAAATGTATTTTACTAGAAAGTGTGAACTGTGGTGAGAAATAAGTTTTTCGTTTGCGTATACTTAAAAATATTTGCATAGTTCAGGAATCGACCCCTAGATCTGATAATTCTTTCGGTACTGATAAAACTTTAGCTGATTCTTGTTACTGCGAAGTTTTGCATCAAAATTAAAATTAAATTTGAGCGTTGAAGTGTTCGATAAATACTTATAATGCATAAAAAATATTAATAGAAATACAAGTTTTACTTAAACTTTAATTTTTTTCATTTTGAGGTTTGTGCTTTACCAGCTCAATTGTAGAATTTTACCGGGATCGAATTAAGAAGCGTTGGTTAAGCGTTTGATGTGTTATCACCTTTCCCGTTACCGTGTTGCGTTTGAATGTTCCTGTTAATTTAATTATTTTCTGTATTGGAATTACACCATTTTTTTTTTAATATTAAAAATGTCGAAATAAGTAAATTATTGCTTTTATAATCTTGCAATATATTCTCTTTTATACTCTTTTATAGAGTTTCGACGTCAACTACTTTGTATAAATAATATGCACAAATATTTAGGTTTAACGTGTTTATTGTCATAAATTTCGCGAGAAAATTAATTAAATAAAATAAGATTTGTCTATTTTAATTACATCGTTGTTGTTTCTCTAAAATTGCAAATCTTGCTTAAATGAACTAAATCATTAGTAGTCAAAGTGCATTTTGATTTCTTGCCAACGGAGTCACGGTTTTTTCTATCTAGTAGTTAGGTTACTACCCATATTTCTTATTAGAAAACCTGTGTCCTATTAAAAATAGTCGTATTCATTTATAAATTCGTCTAAATTCGTTAATTTTTATCTAAGGCAGTTTAAAAATACCTAGCAATGATTTGTTGTTAAAAAAATCTTCATTAAACGTTGAAAATAAATCGACAATAGTCGTAATTTTTTCTTTCAGAGTTGTAAAAAAACAGCATAAAGTCTGGTTGAAAGAAATTGGCATGTTGTGTACAACATGAAACATAAAAATTGTAAACACTAAAAATTAATTAATTTAAATAAAAGAAACCAAAATAAATATTAGAATTGTAATGGGTAAACATTTTTACTTTATATATTTAAATTATTTATTTATTTGAATTTATTAGTAAATGAAATGCTCATATGATTTTAGTAGACAACTGGAGTTTTGCAAAATATATCCAGTATGCATTCACAATAAACTGATTTTTGAATTTGGCTGCACTAAAATTTAAGACTCAAAATTTTTTGCGATTAAAATCTAATTTTAAAGATTTTAAGAGCATTGTTGTTGCTTCACATGTTTTCTTTCGTAAGCTGTGAATATTTTTTGCTACTCTGAAAAAAAAAATTATGGCTATTGTATCAAATGAAAAACTGATTCATTACATCTAAAGTAAATTTGAATACTTTGACCTAAAATACCTAAAATTACTGATCAGTAAATAATAATCCGTATTTTAATTAAGTTATAACTTTAAATTCTTTAATTTAATAATAAATTTTGATCAACATTAATAACACTTTTCAACAAATTTAAACTTTTGCTCAATTTAAGTCTTTACAAAAATATTAAGCCTTTTAAATCCGAAATTAAGAATAAAAATATTTGCGCAGTGGTTTTCAAGATATATTTCTTCCATATATATTGAAAAATTCTATATACAAAAACACAAAAATTTGTTTTGTTTTTTAAGAATTAATATTAGAAATTCTGATGAAGTCAAAAGCGAATACGTGTAGAAATATACTAAAAATAACGATCGAATAAAAACTTGAATTCTTAAAAAACAAAAGCGACTTTAAAATAGTTAAGGTATTATATATAGACATTCCCAATTCCGATACACACAATTTTGAATGAATTTTACCAAATTTGCTTTAATTTACTAAAAAGCAAAAATATTTAAGTAGAGGAATCATTATGTCATATATTTATATGACATCAATTGTAGGATAAAATTTTATTGCGATTACATTATAAAAATTAATATTTATTACAAAAAATTAAATCTCGGACGAGATTAAAGATTAAATAGACTTTTATATAAAAGTCTGTCTTGCTAAGGATAAAGTTTGAAGTTATTAGATTTATTTATAACTAAAATATAAGCTACTTTTGTTAGTATTCTGTACAAACTTGAAATTTTGAAGAGTTTGAAGAGCTGAAAAAGTTGTGTCAAACGAAGAGTATATATCCATAATATAATTTTATGGTAAATACTCCAGTTTCTTCTAATCATCCTTTTGCAGAAGTACAAAATAACGTATGCTCTTACCCATTCTGCAATCATTTACTGTCTAATAATACTATTAATTCTATATTAGTATTACTATTAGTATGTCTTTAAGATAGCACTAATCTCTTGAGCTGTACTGTTTCTCTGATCACGTATATCATGATTATAGTTTGGCTAGAACTCCTCATGGATCACTTTTTGCTGTAGCATAGTAATAACCTAGCAGTTAATACAGTATAAATAAGAAAAAGTAGAAGTAAAAGTAAATAAAAGTAGCGTTAATTTTCAATATCAATTTGTACTTCTTTGGGAATATTTTTGCTCGACTAATATTCGGTTTTACTTTCTCAGCTCTTTTTCGGAGGTTTAAGTGCGCTTCATTTAAATAAAAAATAATTTTTATACTGCGATTGACTTCTTTTATATATAGATGAAAATGTTTGTGTTATTAGGTTCTATTGATTTTTGGAGTAATATCTGACAACGCACACAAATAACAAATTAAAAGCCGTCAGTATGTTAGTTGATGCCTAAGTAAAATTAATACAAAATTGTAGGTACCTAAAGTACATTTTAAAATATATTCATATAACTAGTAAAAGTTACGAAGATGTAATATGTCTACAGTCATTGTTGAGTCGGTGTATTTTTCAAAATAGTTTGTTTTTTTCTTGCATAATTTCGACTATTACTTTATCAAGTTGGAATCAAATAACGAATTAAAATGACAGAATCATAAAAAGATATTAAATCCAAGTTCATAAGCACATTCATCATTTTAAGATTTACTAAAAAGAATATTGTATGATATTTTATAATTGTATAATTTTCCTATACGCTTTAAAATTATTGACCCGCCCTAATGTATAGTGCGAGAACTGATTATTGCGACTACAAAAATGGAGGAAACAAATACTGCTGTATATATATGTGTTATTACTTCTGGTGTACATAAATTTTTAAATAAATCTAGTAAACAGGGCCCTACGGCTTCGATATTGGAAATTTAAATACGGCTTCATTAAACATACCAAAATCATCATATAGTGAGCAAATTTAATTTACGGATATATTCGGATTTAAAAGGACATAATTCTTCTAAAATTACTTTATTTTTGAAAAAAATCAAATTTGTCGGATAGTGTTATTTGTATCAAATATACTACATATAACTTCGGTCTACCTTACCAACGCATGTTATTGCCAATAGATGATCTCACTATAAGTACTTATTTGAACGAAGTTCAGTTTATTAATTTTTCTACTTTTTATTTCAAATTTTAAAATCTCAGTAAGTCATAATTAATTTTTTATACAGCAAAAAATTTTATATTCTGATTTTATATTTCTGACGCATTAAAACGCGTAAAGAGACTTTAATTCAATATTTTTTTGATACATTCAAAATTTTTTTTTTTGAGTTTTAGAGTCTTTTAATCCTTTTATATTTAATCCTTTTATATTTAATCCTTTTATATCTTTAAAATCGCAATTATGAAAGTGTTATTATTTAAATAAAATGAGATTGTTAAAAAGACAAACTAATGAATCATATTAAAAGATATATTAAATATACTTTTACTAATGTTAAATTAATTATTATGTATAGATACAAAATAACTAATTTTGTGATGTTGGTTTTTTTTTATTACTATATTGAAACCTTTATTTAAGATGTCACCTGTTTATAAATTATAATAGTTTTTATGTATATATAAATGTAAATAAATACATAACTTATCAATGCATAAATGTTATGATCTAAAGTTATTTTCCATTAACACTTTTTTTAAAAACTAAGTTTATTATATAAATAATTCCTATAAAGTTGATTTTTTTGTATATCCATTTTTCTTTTATTTGAAAATATTTTTTAATTATAGAAGATAAAAAGGGAATTGTTGATCGAAGCACAACTGTCATATCAAAAGAGCCTGAAGGTAAACAAAAGATAAAAAATAAATTTTTTTAATCAACTTATAGTTAATTTTACAAATTAATTTTTTTCATAGCACCACATTTATACATTATACAAAAAAAAACTATATAAACCGAAAAAGAAAAGCGTTCGAAAACGCTATTGCTTTCAAAACACACATACAATACGCTATTAACACATTCTTGCCATAAAGTAGTACGGAGCAACCCTCGTACTTATTTTCCGAAAATTATGTTCGGTTATATTTACTTGTTTTGTTTTTTATATGTAATTATTTATTTATGCTAGAAAATGTCGCTGAAAAATTATTAAACTGTGTAAAGCCAACAATAAATAAAAGTTTATTCTGATATTTTTTTTTAATACTGACTTCGAAATTTTTCTGTATTCTGAGTTCGAAATTTTTCTGTATTCTGGGATATACCATTAACTCTTGTGATATTAAAAGCCAATTCCTAAGAAATATGTCTGTGAGAATATAACACCGGAATGCAAAAATTTATTTTCTGTGAGTAATGTTTCTGAAGTTTGCGTGCTCCATGTTTCTGTTGAGCAATTCAAAGCATCAAAAATCTCATTGGGTTTCCATTATTCCTGTGAAACATTTAATTTACTTACGATTTTAAATTTGGGCTGTTTTTCGCAATTTCTCACTAAAACCATTTGTAAAAGAAAATCTGTGGATAATTTTTTAAGGTTAATTATACGAATATGAAGTCTTTAATATTAGGCGCATTCGGCAGCCTCGAAGTGTGGCAAAAAAACAACAAGTTACTTGCTAAAGTCGCTAAGTGAAATACATATACAATAAATAATTAATATAAAATTGAAAATGAATAATGAATTAAAAGCAATGTTAACAATACAGAAAATTTTCTAAACTATAGTTTAGAATATTATACTTGAATATAATATATACTTATAATATATATATATATATATATAATTGAATTAACTTGTTAGCAACTAATAAGTTAAAAAATTCAAAGCTCTTTTCAATTATACTTTTTTCATTTCATCCTAAAATTCTTTGTGTAGCTTTAAAATATTTATTTTCCTCAATTTTGCATATTTTTAAAATATTTTGTTTCCACTACTTTCAAATCTGTTCAAACTTTTTAATTTTGTTTGAATTTTTGCTTACCAACTTTAATAAATGGATTGGAACATTCGTTGAAATTTCCAATGAGGGTTCAACGTTCACAATAGATCGCTTACCGCTTTGGTAACATTTTTTTTGCAGTCATTAAAATGTTTGACCACTTCATAACTAGTCGTTTAGATAGAGAAAGTAGTGTTGTGTTTGGCGTATATATAAGCGACTTTCAGAGAGCTACTTGTTGTTTTTTGCCACAGTTTGGAGCTGCCGAATACACTAATGGTGTAACAGAAATATTCGTAGCTGCGATGTGCTCTCTTTTAGCTACTTAGTACATTTTTGTACTACTTAAATCTATTGTATGTTGTTTATATTATTCATCTGTTTTTGATATAAGCTTTAAATTGTTCGTTTAAAGATACCTAAGTATAATTTATTTAATCCAGAACTGGATATTGACTTTATCAAAATCGTTTTGGTGAGTAGTTTTAAACACCCACCGTGTGTATATATAATCTACTCGTTCAGTTTTCAGCCAACTGTAAAAGTATTAATATATCTCTGTCAATATATAATACAAATCCTTTCTCAAAGAGAAATCAGTAGGTAATTATTTATATTAAATAAATAATTATTTATTCATTTCGTATAGTATTAATATTTGACCAAGACCCAAGAACATTTTGATAGAGAATTTAATAAAGAATTAAATTGATCGTGTTATAGAAGAGCAATGCACATTTTATATGCCTAATACTTCGTTTTAGTAATCCTGCTAAAATATATTTTTATATTCCGAATACCCAGAGCAGAAGTCCACTAGAACATAAATTGATTTGAATAAACGAAAATGCTTTAAGGGGTGTTAATGTGGAATAAATTTGAACAACAGCAACACTAATTGGTTTCTCAATCCTGGTAGTAGATTTTTAGGCAAACATAACGAACCAATAAACTTCAAACTACCACCAAGTAAAACACTGAATATTTGAAATTTTGAAATATCGAAATTTAACAGATTAAAATCTTCCTACTGAAATACAAATTATAAAAAATATTCAATTACTACTACGGTAGGCTAAATGATAAATATTCGTATTCAATTTTTGTACTCGCAAAATATCATTATTGTTATCATTATCATTATTGAAACTGATATTTATTGACTTTAACAAAGACTTGACTTCTATACTCACATTTCATCTGTGAAAATATTCTTATTTAAAGGCAGTACATTGATAGTAATGTATACAGTTGCAGGGAATGCAGGGAATATATTGCCTGACTTTAACTAAAATAAATTTCAAATAATTAATAATTTGTTTTATTCTGTAGGAACTATAAAATTTGTGTTATCCAGAAAATCAGAATCGTAACAAGAAAATAATTGTATCATCGAAGTTTGTTGTATAAGTATTTAAATACTTGTAGAAAAAAATAATTAATATGGTGAATATAACTGTACAGACAGAAACTTAAGATACAGGTATTGTACTTGGATCTTAAAGCAATTGTACTCATTATAACACAAATATTCAAAAAGTAGAATATATGTGAACCTTTCTTCAAAAAATGATTTTTTGGTGGTCATAACTATCCATGGATTGCTATCAAGCAAGAACCCCTTTGACTATAATCTGTTCATTTTTGATCATTTTTAATGAGATTTGAAAACACCTCCATTAAAAAAGAATTTATTTTAGATAGAATAAATATTAATGGACTAATGTACTCCCAGTGGCTTGGAGTAATGCGGCAATGATATATCTTTTTTGGTACCAAAAAATCGTAACCGAACAGAAGATCAAAATTTCTTCCGTTAATTATCTCAAAGACTCTCCTCTTGACCCAGATCAAAGTCCATATTATTTTATTGTGCTTATTTCATGCACTTTTTCTTATTAAATTATTTTAATCAATATATTTTGTTTCTGTAAATTTTTTGATTTTTTTATTCAATAAAGTTAAAGCTACAACTATGTTACTTCGAATAGTCACTAGCTTCGCTTGATTTTTGCTTTTAACATCAGTTCGCTAAGAAACTAAAAGAAATTTTATGCATGTACTCGTATAATATATTTATATTATTTAATTTTTTTTTTTTTTAAATATTTATATTTGGGGTATGATGTCATTTTAAAGAAATTTTCAGTAAGTAAATAATTTATTTACTTATAATTTTTTATTCCTTGCGTTGTCAGTTTACTAAGCACATACATTTGAAGGATGTGTTGCTGCTTATTTTTTTTTTTTTGTTCTACATACACCATAAACGTAAGTTTCATTTATTTATTAAGCATAAAATAAAAGATAAAAGATTTTCTCTTTCAACAAAAAAAAATGTTTTTCAATTAAACTTGTATAAACCGTGTTGTAATGCCTGCGGGCTAGACTTTCAGTGCCTTTACTAAGTTTCGTATATTCGAGCTTAAATACGTATTATAATAATAAGTATTTCAGTGTATTATTATAAAGTTTACTTTATATTTCACAAATTATAAATTACGTACTTGCGTAATAATAAATTTCGATACTTATTGCTTTTCCCAGGTACGACAATTTCATAGTAGATCTTAGTAGAGTCTGCGGTTTTAAGGCCATTTTCTACTGTGCTTCAAGTCAATATAGCTTACTTTTAGAGATATCAGGGCTTTAAGCTCACTGAAGAATATCGTCATTATTTTTGTGACAATTTTTGGACAACAATTCTTTTTGAGACACGTTACTGAAGTAGTGTTTCCAAACTTTTATTTATACTGAAAAAGTAAAGTTTTGAAGATAAAAAACTAAAAATATTATTAAAAATATATTACCAATTTTCGTGAGTACTTCGCAGCGCGAGAATTATTTGTATTAATGGTGCGGATAAACTTGCGAATTTGGAGATTCAATAATAGTTCACAATGATTGTTACAGGTATAACGATCCAAATAACTGCATAACCCAACTGCTGTATGAACCCATATGTGAGGTGACAGATAAATTTTTAGTTACATTTAACATGATTAAAAAGGTTTGCTCTGGGCAGATGTAGGATACGGGAAAGGAACCCAGAATCTTCCATTCTTTAGTTAGTAACCATATACATCTCAACAAAAAGCAACTGTTGAAACTTGTTCAACAGTTGGAATACTGCTCTATTATAGTAAATTAATTTGTTAAAGTTGCAGCATTCAGCTTTACTGGAAACAAAATTTTCTTTTATAATCCTATTTAATTATCTATAAGTACAATTGTTTGTTATTCTTTTTATGATTAAAAATTATTTAAAACTTCACTGGTACTTCGTTTTCATTTTTGTAGTCATAATCAGAGTACTAGTATACTACACAATCTTTCAATATGTGAAGGCTTTTGGTTGAGATGAAACTAAAGCCTTTCATTCCTTTCCTTTCATTGTCACTTGCAGTTTAGAGATGCCACATAAGAGCCCGTTTGAGCTTTATTGTTTTACTTTTCTAACAGCGTGATTATCTCTCTTCAGTTACAAGGACAACCATGTCTTACGTGCGCTCTTGGGACATTTTTAGCATATCTTTGCAATGCTATACTCTCTAGTCTTTTACGACGTTCGTCAAACTGTGAAAAAAGGTTTTTTGGTTTTCTCAATGGAACAGAGAACCCGTGAGATGGATATACACATTTTTTTTAGCATTTCTTACGTTTTTGTTCCACTTTTACCAAATTTCAAATAGAGTTTAACATTCACTCTAAAATTGACATCACGCAAAATGTTATAACATAGAAATATGAAAAAGTTTGCTCAAATTTTGACAGCAAATAGATAAAACGCACAATTTTCACCTACTATCAATTACTTATAGATGTCGCTGCGCTAAAATTGTTTTTAAATTTTTTTCTTTTCGGATCTGGGCCTGACTGTGTTTGGACAGCAAATGATT